AAGCTGAGTGGGTGGGCAGAGAGCAAGTTGCCATTTTAAATAGGGTGGCCAGGATGGGGCCCTTTGAGAAAGTGCAGTGTAAGTGTGACTTGAAGGGTGTGAAGGAATCAACCATGTAACTATCTGGGGGAAGAGCCCTAAGGCTGAAACATGTCTGGCATAGCCAAGGAACAGCCGGGAGATAAACGAACCCTGGGCAGAATAAGCAATGGTGACAGTAGCAGGAGTTGAGGTCAGAGAGGTGAGAGAGGTCACAGTTCGATTTCTGGTCAGGGCACATGCCCAGGTTGCGGGCTCGATCCCCAATATGGGATGTGAAGGAGGCAGCCAATCAATGATTCTCTTTCATCACTGATGTTTCTATCTCTCTCTCCCCCTCCCTTTCTCTCTGAAATCAATAAAAAGATACTTATTTTAAAAAAGTTGTAAATTGCAAAAACAAATCTTACCACTCAGAGCCATGGCCAACCGGAATTCTTCCTTTAGTATCTCAAGGACATCTTGAACACCTTTCTCTCCCTAAACAAGGAAGAGATACAGATGTTTTGGGTAAGTCATTCTGGCTTGTTTCATGTACTTATTTCACTGTTGAGTTATCCTGTTTTATGTATTTATTTATTTGTCCTCCAATTACCTGGGAAGCCAAACCCCAAATGATTGGTCTCCCCACAAACACAGCCTTGGCTCCCAGGGCCAGAGCTTTCAGAACATCAGTGCCTTTCCGGACACCCCCGTCCAGGAAGACTTCCACCTTCCCTTCAACGGCCTCCACGATTTCGGGTAGAGCATCAATCTGTGGAAAGAAGAGGTCAATAATGAGACAATACTCTGCATGATGCACTGTTACCCCACTCAACACCCACAGCCCACTGACCATCTGACTAGGCCTCAGAGTAAAAGAAGCTAAGTAGATTTGGAATCAACAGTAAAGTCCCCCTGAAATAAAAGTGGTGCAAATGCTAGTAACTAAAACAAATAAAAAACAACAACAAAAACACAACAACAACAAACTATATTTGGAATTGGGTGGCTTCTTTTCTTTCAGAAACCACAATATTTTTTTCTGTTCCTGATATTCAAATTCAAAGATCACGATTTTATTTTATTTTTGTATTGATTTTTATAGAGAGAAAAGAAGGGAGAGAGAAATCAATTTTTGCTGTTCCACCTATTTATGCATGCATCAGCATATTCTTGTATGTGCCCTGACTGGGGATCAAACCCAAAACGTTGGAGTATTGGAATGATGCTCTAACCAACTGAGATACTTGCTTAGGGCCAAAAATCATGATTTTTAAAAATATAAACCTAATTTTATTTTATTATTATCTTAAAATATATTTTTATTGATTTAACTAGCAGTCCGACATCCCCCCAGGGATGTAGTAGTGCATGAAGTGGCAGGCAGCTGGGGAGGACCCCAAGCTTGGGCCAGGCGATCCTGGCCCTGCTGCTCCTGCTGCTGCTGCTCGGGAGCGCTGTCATGGAGGTGGGAGAGGCTTGTGCCATCGCAGCTCCACCCCCACCCCCACCCTCCTGCACACCCCACACTGGGGCCTGAGCCCCACAACTCTGGTATGTGCCCCGACTGGGCACAAAACTGTGACCTCCCAGTTCATAGGTCTCCATGAAAAAATAAATAAGTAAATAAATAAATTATATATATCCATTAGTGGTTTCCCCCTTTTCCGTGGCCTGATTGTCTTCTAGAAACTGGAGGCCACACAGCAGAGGCTCCCCTGAGTTTTTTCCCTTTGGGTCGGGGGACTCTTAAAGGGAAACCTGTGCTGGGTTATTTCAAGTTTCTCGCTTCGTCTTGAACTCCTCGATCTTTTTCATGTTAGCTCCTGCATTGAGCATCTTCCCCCTGGTGGTAAGTGTGTGTCATAGCAACCAGTCTTTGGTGGTTTGGTTGTTCAGTTGCTTAGGCTTTTACATATACTAGAGGCCCAGTGCATGAAATTTGTGCACAGGTAGGGTCCCTAGGCCTGGCCTGCAATCAGGGCCCATCAGGTTCTCCGCCTCTCCACTTCCCCACCTCCTCCTCCCCTCGCCACCTGCACACTGCCACTATGTGGTTCCCCCAACCTCCCCGCCTCCCCGCCTCCTCCTTCCCTCACTCCCTCAGCACCCTGCTGCCGCTGATCGCCCACCATGTTCTGTGCCACCCCTTAGTGGTCAGCACATGTTATAGCGAGAGATCAAACTCCCGGTCTCCTGGTCGAACTCCCTAGGGGACACTTTGCATATTAGCCTTTTATATATATAGCAGATAGATGTATATGTGTGTGTGTGGATTTAATTCTCACCCTAGGATATTTTTCCATTGATTTTTAGAAAGAGTAGAAGGGAGAGAGACAGAGAGAGAAGCATCGATGTGGCAGAGACACATCGATTGGTTGCCTCCCACATGAGCCCTAACCAGGGCCTGGGATTGAGCCTGCAACCGAGGTATGTGCCCTTGATGGGAATCAAATCTGGGATCCTTCAGTTTGTAGGCAGACACTTTATCCACTGAGCTAATTGTCTTGGGTGGAAATATCTTTCTTGCTTTTAAAGGAATATGACCACATACACCTTGAAGGTCCTCATCTTTATTGGCAATTGATAATGAGCTTATATCATCACTAGAGAAAAAGATCCTCATAGAGGTTGATCTGGTAAATTGCATCATTGTTCCCGATCTTTCACACCACTCTGAACCCACTTATTTTTCAAGGCAACTTTGCAGTTTCCCACTAAAAAGAAAAAACTAATTCAGTGCACTTGCCCAGTCCTTGATGTTGGCCTTGGGCTTGCAAACTTCTTTGACAAATAGCATGTAAGGTGGAGAGTGCCATTTCTGGGCATCGGCCTTAAACACCCTCATGGGTCTCAACTTTCTCTTGCACCTGTGCATTTGCCATGAGAGGAGAATCCCCTGGTCACTCCTTCCCCCTTAGGCCCCAGGATAAATATTCAGGAAGCAGAGCTAGCTCAGCCAAACTCAACTGGACCTGAAACTGGGAGCACAGTCACCTAACCAGTACCAAGTCCATATCAGCAGACCTGCAGTTCACACAGAGTTTCATGGGAATAAATTACTGTTGGTTTAAAACACTGAATTTGGAATCTTGTTTTATAGCATCATGTGCCAATAGTGAATATAGTTGGCTAATCGCCAATATAGTTCATAGCTAATAGCTGACACTGTCAGCTACTTTGATCTAAATCTTTGCATTTGGGAATGGAAACAATTCCCAAGGTGACCTGCAGGTCAAAATGTATAGAAATTATTCACATTCATACCAAAATATTTAAATCTAAAGTTAAATCCAATCCCTATTTAAAATGCATGCTGAAAAAGCTACCATGCATTCAAGTGCAGTTTTTTCTCAAAATAATTGTGCTGAAATCACTCAGAAGTTTTTCCCACTTCACCCCTAAAATTTTAGAGGCAAAACTTAAAAAGAGTTTTATGTAAAAGGCTGAAGACCAAACCCGGCAACAGATTTGGAGGAAGTGAAGGCAACATTTGGCGTGCAGCCCCTAAATGTTTGGCAAGTACTGTGATTTTCCTCTTTTCCCTTTTGGCTCCTCTGCCTTGCCAAACATGCTTTGGATCCATTTACATATGCCCCTTTACCTATACATAGTCCTCCTTTTACAGTCAGGCAAGTTACATCAACATAGAAATGCTACAATTTCCAAGGGATGATGCAAGCTATAATTAAGCATATTTCCCCATTTGAAACCAGAACCAAAGAATAATATTAGCTAGCTCGGGTTCAATACACATTTTCAAAGTCACGCAACTCAAGTCTCTTTAGGTTATTTCCAATGCCCAGCCTGGCCTAAAAGGAAACTGTTACGGATAATTTAAATGTGAATCCTGGGTTATAAAAAGGAACCCAGATTGGTGTTGCATGTGTCTGTGGACAAGTCTGTTCTATTCATTTGCTGAGTATTTCTATCCTCCTCCTCCCTTTTTCCCCCTTTATTGCAATTTTATTGAGTATTTCAGAGAATAATTCTGATCAGGGGAGATTAAATAAATAAATATTGTAGACAAATCCACTATTTTATGACTGTTATGTTTTCTTCTTTTCAGCTTTCTACACATCTAAGAGACCATTCATTTCATCTTATCTTTCCTTTCCTTAGTGATTCTTTAGACAACTAGTTGTGGCCTGAACTCCAGTGGGTTTAATATACAGAAAAAATATGGTAAATCCCAATGTACTATTGCTCATTCACCCATCCATTCATCGACTTATCAAACACTTTATTGAGGACCTGGTATATTCAAGTCACTATGCCGGTGGCTTAAAGAGTCTAAAAAGAAAATCTTAGAGATGCAGGAAGAATCCCACATGGACCCAAAGGACAGGGACACCTCTTTGCCGTTCCCACTCAAGCCACATTCTCCCAAGGATGCTCCTGGTCCTGCAGAACTCCCACTCACAGGGAGCTCTCTCCTTTCTCCCTTCCTGTGGTCTCCATTATTATATCCCTAATTTCTGAGATTTTAGGGTTGGAACCCTTTAAAGGTTTCAAACCAAAGCAATTGAACATAAACAAAAGCAAGCAAAACCAGAGTTGAAAAACAAAGGAGTCCAGGCCACTGCCCACAAATTCTTCCCTGACTCTCTGGCTTGCCCATCACACTGTGCCAGGCATCCCTGGGGAGTTTCTATTAAGCCCACTTAGAAAATCATTGGCTGACATAGGCAAGCCCTGCTTACTTGCAATTGCAAAAATGTCTTTGTTTCCTTGCAATGTGGCATTTCAGCTCCTCCCATCACAGGGGAGAAATATGACCAGAAGAGTCTATTTCCTCACCCCTTGAGTTTAAACTAGCCTTTGTGACCAACAGAATAGGAAAGAAGCGACAATATGTCCATTCTAAGCCTAGGTCCCAAGAGGCCTTGCGTGCTTGCACTTACTCTCAGAAGTCTGCCACCTCATGAGAACCAGCTCAGCTAATGTGCTAGATGTTAGACAATTAAAAGCTGTTCCTGCTAATGTCAGCCTACACCAGCCTGTCCAAGTAGACCTAGCAGCTGACCACAGATGCATAGGAGTGAGCCCAGCCAACACCAGAATAACCTCCCAGACCAATGGTTCTCAACCTGTGGGTTGCAACCCCTTTGGCAGTTGAATGACCCTTTCACAGGGGTTGCCTAAGACCATCCTGCATATCAGATATTTACATTATGATTCATAACAGTAGCAACATTACAGTTATGAAGTAGCAACAAAAATAATTTTATGGTTGGGTCATAACATGAGGAACTGTATTTAAAGAGCCAAAAGGTTGAGAACCACTGTCCCAGACACTCTCAGATTGAATTGCCAACTCACAAAATTGTGACATAAGTAAATGGCTATTGAATTTTGGCCAGTAAGTTACACAGCAAAAGCTAACTAATACATCAAGTGTTTCTCAAAGATAGAATTGCATGAATCTCTTTTAAAAGGAAAATAAAATATTTTAGATCTCAAAGAAGAGGCCAAAGAATCAAGGAACACTTGACTTAACAACCCAAATACTTATTTTAAGAAAATCTTCTGCAGTTTAAAATTTTCACTAGAAAAGAATGGCATATTCATAAGTTTAAATTTGGATCCCATTAGCATCAAAACAAAAATTGAAAAGAAATATTGCTGCTATGCTTCAATGGCTTGAGGGAATCTACCTTTAAACTCCAATTTGCGATGTGCAGTACTATAGATTTTGGAAACTGATTTGATTCTGTCCTATTGTTCTCTAATTACTTCAAGATCAGTCGTGGTCACATTATTACCTTGCAGGTAAAGACCTTGACATGAGCTTAATTTTTAATGCCTTTTGGGTATAGCAGAGGTCTGGCAGGGGTTCTCAATAGTGTGATATTAAGCTGAATGAAGTAAGATTCTTAGTGATAAGAATTTCCCATCCAAGGGAACTTGGTGATTTACAGAAATGTAGAAATCACATAGTCCAGCTGCTTCCTTTTCGCAATCAACACAAAACGACCACGAAGCTCAAGCTGAAATGTTTAAGCCACTTGCTCACCCAGGTCACACCCCTGAGAAAAGGCAAGACAAGGACTTGAGACTATGACTCTAGACTCCTGTTTCGGTGCTTCCCCCCATGACGTCACTCTGCCTCTTTAGCTCTGACTTATGATGTCACATAATCTGCAGGACAGCAAGTCCTTCTGTGTGTCTACTGAAAAGCCTTACACTACAGCCTCCTCTAAGCCTTTTGCCACTTACCTCAAAACCCACATTTGGAGGAAAAAACATCTTCCTGTAAACGAATCCTTTCTCATATTTCTCTCACCATCGTGGGCCTTCAGTTCACTCTATGAGGCAAAACTCAAGCAAGCACTCCTCTCTCATGCACAGCATGCAAAGGGGAGGGTCACTGTTTTTCTTAGAAGTCTCTGAGCCCACAGCTCAAAAAGCCCTTTTAGATAAGTTTCCATATCCCCTCAGCCAGAGGGAAATAAACCACACCATTTAGATATTTTTTCCCTTAAAATCTAGTTAGATTTGATTTCAGCAGATTTAGATTTTATTTTTAGAAAACAAACTTAATTTGGCCCGCACACTAAGTCAGTGTCTTCATGCATAAGAGAGGCATAAATCTGCAAAAGAGCCAGGAGCTGTGACCAACTTTTCCTCCCTGCGCAGAGGAGGCTCTCCGCCTCTATTTACCTGCAGGCAACATTTAAAATCACCTAAAAATACAGCTCCCTGATAAGTAAGGCTGAATCAGAAAGAGCTGAAAACAAGGTGGAGGGTGGGGTGGGGTGGGGGTGGGGAGAGATTAACCAAAGAATTTACATGCATATATGCATAACCTATGGACACAGACAATAGTGAGGTGAAGGCCTAGGGGCGGAGAGGTGAGGGTGGGGTGGAGGGGGGTCAATGGGGAACAAAAAGGGGACATCTGTAATACTTTCAACAATAAAAATAAATTTAAATAAATAAATAATAACAAAGTGATGAACAAAATAGAACCAGAGGCATATATACATGGAACAGACTGACAGCTGTAAGAGGGGAGGGGAGTGGAGGAGACTAGAGATAAAAGGTGAAGAGATTAGCCAAAGGACATATATGCATAATCCATAGACCCAGACAGTGGTGAGGTGAGGGCCAGAGGGAAGAGGGTGGAGGGGTGGGGCAGGGTGGAGTTGGCTAAGGAGCAGGGGGAGAATGGGAACATCTGTAACAGTGTCAACAATAAAAATAAAGTTAAAAGAAAAGGAAGTCTTGACAGTGTAATCCTACAGTGTGCAAAGACTTGGTTTGTTTCTGTCACTAGTGTTTGAGGGAAAACTGTGAGTACAGATATGTGTACCCAATATCCCTTCTAGTCATTTAGTCTGCTCTAAGACCTATACAACTGTCTATGGATTTAATTAAATCAAACATGCTAGTTCAATAAAACAATAACCCACTACCACTTGACTAAATTACTTGTTCTATTCTACTTCCAGTTGTTTGAATCAACTGGTCATCCCAATGAAAGTCATTCATTATAGCAACTATGACTGAATAATTCTGACAAAAGGGGGGAAATACATATGGTGGTCCAGATCAGAGACGGTCTGGAAAGTCCATCCACATGGTTTGGTAAACATATTTTTTTTGTTTGTTTTGTTACATAATCTTAGCTTACTTTGCCTATAATAAATTAGATTTTAGGATAAAAGGTGAAGAGATTAGCCAAAGAAGTATAGTCATGAAAGAAATAATGTAATGATGTTTAAACTTTAAGAAATGAGAAAAACTAAGGTTTAGGATAGAAATTGATGCCCTCTGCCCTGTCGTAATTCGGGCCCTTCTCTCTTCCCTTGGCCACCTAACTGATCTTCCTGCCTCCTGTCGTGCCAAAACCCAATTTCTAAGATTCATTGCTGCTAAATCAAGGCGCTTCTATTGTATATCCAATGACTCATCATATGGAAGAAAATCCTCCTCCCTGACCTGTCCATGCCAACCAGAAACTGCAAACAAAATGGATTCCTTGAAATTCCCCTAACATAGCCCACTCCACATTTAGGCTCACACCTCTAAAAGCAGGGGCCCACATGGAGGCAGAGCAGAGGTGCAAGGCAACAGCAAAGCCATTGCCTCATCTAAAAGAATTGTGGCTGAGTTCCCACAAGTAAACAACATGGAAGATAACTACTTTTACATACCACACCCACTCTAGCTCCTGACCCCATTCTGGATATGGATCCATGAAATTCACTCCAGGATATGTGTCTATCTTCATGACTTTTTACCTATTTCTGGGCCCCTAATTCTTGATCTCAAAATCTGCCCCAATGCCTCTATTGATCTTGGGGTTAACTGCTCTCCTTTATAGTTTTAACTCAGTACCACACTTTTCCAGCCAATTTGGTTTACTTTTATATCTAGACTAGAGGTCTGGTGCACAAAATTCATACACAGAGGGGGGCTGTCCCTCAGCCCAGCCTCTACCATCTCCAATCTGGGATCCCCCTCACAATCCTGGATCTCTGGCTCCTAACCGCTCGCCTGCTGCCAGCCTGATTGTCCCTAACCACCTGTGCCAGCCTGCCTGATCATCCTGATCAACATCTAACTGCCCTCCCCTGGCAGCCTAATCACCCCCTAACTACTTGCTCCCCCGCACCAGCCTGATCTCACCCCTAACTGCTTGCTCCCCTGTGCTGGCCTGATCTCACCTCTAACTGCTTGCTCCCCTGCCAGTCTGATCGCCCTTAACTGCTTGCTCCTCTGCCAGCCTGATCACCCCTAACCGCCTCTGCCTCAACCCCCACCGCCTTGGCTTTGTCTGGAAGGAATTCGGGCATCCGGGAGATGTCCGGTCGACCTGGTTTAATTAGCATATTACCCTTTTATTAGTATACATTTTGGATTCTAATTTGCCTAGCACAGAGTATACAGCAGCCGTGGGCAAACTACGGCCCGCGGGCCGGATCCGGCCCGTTTGAAATGAATAAAACTAAAAAAAAAAAAGACCATACCCTTTTATGTAATGATATTTACTTTGAATTTATATTAGTTCACACAAACACTCCATCCATGCTTTTGTTCCGGCCCTCCGGTCCAGTTTAAGAACCCATTGTGGCCCTCGAGTCAAAAAGTTTGCCCACCCCTGGTATACAGTGTATAAAAACCACAGATGCACATTGGAATCTCCTGGGTAGCTTTAAATATTACTGGTGCCTCTGCTCCCCATCCCTAGAGATTCTGATGATTGATCTGGGTTGCAGCCTACCTTCCCTCACCTGGGCCTTAGGATTTCATCTCCTTTCCCAACCACCTACCATTTCTCTACAGCTTTCAACCCCTATATCCACAGGAAAATGCAGTCTTTCCTTACTTCTGACTTCTTGTCATAGTTGCACCAATGATCTCAAACTCTACCAAAGCCTTTTGCAAATACTGCAACTATCTGTTAGCTCCTCTTCTTTGGACTTTTATGTTATAACTAGAGGCCCAGTACATGAAATTCATGCACCGGGGTGGGGGGGGTCCTCTCAGCCCAGCCTGCCCCCTCTTCAATTCAGGACCCCTCAGGGGATGTCCCCTTAGGGGATCAGCCCTAAACCAGCAGTTGGACATCCCTCTCACAATCCAGGACTGTTGGCTCCTAACTGCCCACCTCAACCTGCCGGCCTGGTTGCCCCAAGCAGCCTGGTGTTCAGTCATTTGGTCGCTCCTCACTAACCCCCCTGCCAGCCTGATCGTCCCATGCAGCCTGCTTGTTCTGTCGTTTGGTCGTCCCTCACTAACACCCTTGCCGGCCTGGTCGTAGGCAGCCATCTTGTGAGGGCATGAATGTTAATTTGCATGTTACCTCTTTATTATATAGGATAATTTCTTTTGCACTTTCATTTATATTATACCTATCGGTATACCTATGAATACAAGAGTAATCCCTGACCACAAATGATTTATAATTTAACTTTTTTAGTTTGTAAATAAGCATATTGGGCTAATTATCTAATTTAGGTAATTATGTACCCCTAACTTAAAATCTGAGATCTCCTATATTTACATGTATTTTATCTTGACTGTTCAGAAACATACACAGTGAGGAGGCAGACACAGAGATGATCAAAATTTTGATGGAAATGAGACACCCCAAAATAAATCTCAGCATTTGCTCTAACTCACAGTGGCTGGCACCCCATCAAGTTGTCGAGCTCCATGATTCGACACCAAGATCCCGTCCAAACCATGTTTAACTGCCTCCCTGGCATCGTCTCCTAGAAAGAGCAAGACAGTCATCATAAGAAAAGACTCCTTAACAGAAGGCATAGGTTTAGGGGTCAAAGCATCAAAGTCAAAGGGAAGCTGATCTCACACATATATACCTTGCTAGGAACCCATAGCACAGACATACTAAGGGTTAGATCTAGAATAGCAGATCCATCTTGGTCAAAAAATGTTAGCAGTCATAACAATTTAATTATAAAATAAAATTATCAATAGACTATAAATTGACATGCACCTAAATTTATTTATCCTCATAAGGAAGTATTCCTGCTAATTATGTTTTATTATTAATAAGACCATACCATTTAGCAATTAGCAGAATTACTCCTCTACAATTTGTGGGGTTTTTTTCATCTTTATTGTTGAAAGTATTACATATGTCCCCTTTTTTCCCCTACAATTTGGATTGCATAAAAGAATATATAGTCTGTTTGGCTCAGTGGATAGAGCATCAGCCTGCAGACTGAAAGGTCCTGGGTTTGATTCCGACAAGGGTACATGCCCAGGTTGCAGGCTCAATCCCCAGTAGGGGTCAAGCAGGAGGTAGCCAATCAATGATTCTCTCTTATCATTGATGTTTCTATCTCTTTCTCCCTTTCCCTTCCTCTCTGAAATCAATAAAAGTTAAAAAAATTTTAAAAAGAATATATAATTGGCAAGTACTTTAACAGGTAATGAACAACTCTAATTCAAAAACATTATTTAATACAAAGTTATAACTTCAATACTTATTTTAATTTATAACTTCAATCCTTATTTTAATTTATAACTTCAATAATTATTTTAATTCTATAATTAAGTGTATTATACCCATTGAATTACATAAGAATCTAATATTAAAATTAGGTTTCTTCTCTAATTATGCTTCAAAATAGATTGATTTCTAAAAATACAATTTTAAAAGAAATTAACATTCTCTTAAATCAACTTCCAAAATATATTTTATATTTCAGATTTTTTTATTTTTTTACAGTTTGCACCTTATTTTATACATTAGAATTAAAGGAGATGACATAAAGGGGTTACATGAAATCCATTCATGGTAGATTAGGGAGGAAGGAGAAAGCAAAGTGAGCAAATTTCTGGGATTGAATAAAAAGTAAAACAAATAAACACATAATTATATATTGGTGGGCACAGAATAGTTAACAGTTAACAATTAACATCTATAATAATAAAAGCGTAATATGCTAATTAGACCAGACATCCTTCTGGAAGACCTTCTGGATAAAGCCAGGGCTGCGAGGGAAGCCAGTGCCAGCAGCTGGGGAAAGGAAGGCCTACTCTTGCACGAATTTTGTGCATCGGGCCTCTAGTGATAACAATAACAGTGAGGGGTTCTGTGGTCTCCTGCTCTGGTAGGTCTGGAAAAAGTAAATTACCCTGACATTACAAAGATATGTTATCATAGATGCAAAAAGTTAACCGACAGGCCCTAGCCAGTTTGGCTCAGTGGACAGACCCTTGACCTGCAGACCGAAGGTCCCAGGTTTCTATTCTGGTCAAGGGCACTACGTACCTAGGTTGCAGGTTCCTTCCCGGCGGGGGCCCTGGTCAAGGGGTGTGCAGCAGGCAACCAATTGATGTGTTTCTCTCACACTGATATTTCTCTCTGTTTTCCCTCTCTCTTCTATTCTCTAAAATAATCAATGGAAAAATATCCTTAGATGAGGATTAAAAAAAAGAAAAGACAACAGACAGGCTCAATTAAGGTAAAGATGGACCTTTGCAAAGGAAGATACTGGCCTAGGATATGACTGCCCGCCATGACTTGCTTTTAGTTAGGAAGTTCAATTTCAGCCCATCCTATGTGGTTACCTTAGGTCTCTGAATTTGTAAGGCCCATCATGCAGGCCTCCTCTGAGCTTGTCAATTTTAGCATGTAGCGCCTTTTCCTCCACCCATTTCCCTTTTGGTAATAAATTAATCCAAAAGATGCACTGATGACCAACCATTGATTTGGATAATGTGGTCCACTGTGCTAGGAAGCCTCATTTCTGGGAAGTTAGCATTTGTCTTGCCGAACAATAGACCACTGAAAATCGGGCAAGACCATAACCTTGGATGGAAGTCAAGGCCAAATTTTTCTCAAAAGTGAAAAGCAGGTAAATGGGAGGCCGTCAGGTCTTATGTGCCTTCACTAAGAAAAACACTCTGTATCACTTCTAACCAATATTTGGCTGTTTGTCTCACTTCTCTATATTTTGCATCTAGTGTAACATTGACTTAGAGCTTGAGGGCACACCATATACCTCTTCAGTTTTCATAATCTGACCAACTATATTTTATATTTTAAACTATTATTCTCAGCATGTTCCCAATAACAAACCATTTGCTAACAGAATAATGAAAGTAATGCTAGTTCTCAAGTTTACAAAAAGAGTTGGTTCAAGGTTGTAATGAAAATCATAATTTGGATACTTAAGCAGATGGGTACAGAAAATTGTACATATTTATTAATTCCCAATGGAGATCAAGGGGAGACCTGTTTACGAATAATAAGAAAGATTCACAGGAGTACCTGGAATTCTGATTGTTTTCAAATGTTATGCTTAAACACCATTTCCACACTGTTTCACAGAATACTAGATTTTAAATATTTCCATATTTTAAAGTGATGCTAGTATTATTTTTCTTCTAACGTTATAGGTATATGAAAATGTTAAACCCAAGTTGTATGGACTGAATGTGTGCATCCCCCCAAAAGCCTTGGGTTGCAGCTCTAACTTCCAAAGTGATAGTCTTTGGGGAATATTTAAGGTTAGATGAAGTCATGAAGGTGGGGCTCTCTTGATGGTATTAGTACCCTTATAAGAAGAAACCAGAGAACTTGCTCCCCAACCCTTCTATGTCCCCACAAAGAAGAGGTCATGTGAGCACACAGAGAAAAGGGGGCCTCTGAACCCAAGGAGAGAGCCTGCACCGGAGAATAAGCCTGGTGGAACCCTAATCTCAGAATTCCAGCCTCCTACATTGTAAGAGAATAAATTTCTGTTGTTTAAGCCACCCAGTCTGCAGCATTTTGTTATGGCAGCCAAGCTGACTAAGACATATGTCATCATGTCCTTGTTGCTCTAATCAGATCCAACTTCAGTGCTGTTGTCAGATCCTTTAATGCTCTGACAAGCCCTAAAAGGCAATGAAATAGTATGAAAGGTGTTTTTTTTTTCATATTAAATATGAAACCTAATGTTTCTAGGAGACTGTTTTGGCTGTTTTATTCCAAGCATGCATTTCATCTTGTGAGATCTTACTGGCATTTTTAGAGTCACTCATAAGAAAAAGGCCCTAGCTTCAAGATTGAAAGATGATGGTTTTCCCAACCCTAATGACTAATTCATATTTTACATTTTAATGTTGCTTTATATTTGGACCATATGTGTTTTATTACAGCTCTTTCTTTTCCTAGATTTCTAATTGCCTTTCTTTCCTTTTTTCTCCATTTATCATGAGACTTAAAAAAATATTTCTTGTTGAAAGTATTACAGATGTCCCCCTTTTCTCCCCATTGACCCCTTCACCCTGCACACCCCCCCAGACCTTCACCAAACTATTGTCTGTGCCCATGGGTTATGCATATATGCATATAATTTCTTTGGTTAATCTCTCCCTACCCCTGACCCATCTTCCCTCTGAGATTCATCAGACTTTAGAGCAGCAGTTCTCAACCTGTGGGTCGCGACCCCTTTGGGGGTCAAACGACCCTTTCACAGTGGTTGTCTAAAACTATCAGAAAACACATATATATTACATATTGTTTTTGTGATGAATCACTATGCTTTAATTATGTTCAATTTGTAACAATGAAATTGGGGGTCACCACAACATGAGGAGCTGTATTAAAAGGTCATGGCATTAGGAAGGTTGAGAACTACTGCTTTAAAGTATCCTCAAGTCCTTCAAACCTTTAACTTACTCTAACCTACTTAAAGCACCTTATTTTCCCTCTGAAGACACATTCCCTCCCCTCTGGCCTTCCTACTCTATCCTGTTCTGATTACTCTGCCTACTGCCACCTCATTCTATAGATTGCTCCTACTCTCTCCGAGTTGCTTCTCTTGTAGTCAAGTTTATGCATTCATTTGGTTTAGGTCTCCCTTGTTACAGTACATTCCTTTGTAACTTTCTAAACAGAAGAAGCTAAATGTACAGGTCACTTAAATGACTTCTCTTGTGTCTAAATAATTGGATTAGATCAAATATTCTACACTGAAAAATCCTTTTACTTAGGCTTTTAAAGGCATTACACCTTTGTCTTCAAGTGCCCATTGTTGTTGACAAGAAGATTGAGGCGAGTTTGACTCCCATTCCTCTGTAAGTAACCCGTTTTATGTTTCTTCTCTCTCTTTACACACATTTCCCCCTTGAAATTTCATGAGATGTAATAAGCAGTGTTTGTTCTTTCGTTGTAGTGGCCTATGTCTCTAGCATTCAGGCAAGTTTGTCTTTACTAATTTCCTCCCTATCTCCTTCTTTTATTTTTTTATCTGAAGACCTTGTCAATTGAACACTGGACATTTAAGGAGTTTTCAAGCCTCTCCTTCATTTAATCATATTTTGTTTCTATTTGTCTTGTTGCTGTCTGACATTTTGGGAGATGTCATTAACCCTATTATTCAATTCAAAATTTCATTTTTAATTCAAGAAATTATATTTTTAAAATATTTGGTAGATTCTTTTTATATTCTGGTTTTCTTTTCATGGCAGGCTTTTCTTTATTAGGTATATTTTCAACTTCTTTTAGTCTATCATTTGGAACTTTTAAATTTATTTTTCTTGTTTTTACAGTGGTTCTCAACCTTCCTAATGCTGTGACCCTTTAATACAGCTCCTCATGTTGTGGTGACCCCCAACCATAAGATTATTTTCGTTGCTACTTCATAACTGTAATTTTGCTACTGTTATGAATCATAATGTAAATATCTGATATGCAGGATGTATGTTCATTGTTACAAATTGAACATAATTAAAGCATAGTGATTCATCACAA